TCTTTATGACCTCTGGATAGTTGCCGGGATCTTTGTGACCTCTGGATAGGTCCTTCGGGACATTTATACGAGCTGTGGTGACAACATAGTAGTGCACAACCTTAATAGACTCACGTATCTACAGTTCTCACATGTGTACCATGGGCTAATAAAGAGATAATATTAATAAACTGGATATGATGATATGTTTGTTTCCTTATGAAATGTTATGTGTGATGTATGATGGTACAAATGGTAATTATAAGATTATATGATAAAAGGAATCAATGATAGTGATAAGAATGAAGATGATGATATAGTTGCTTGTGTGTTTGATTTACGATAGTATATATGTTTTACATAACATGATATATATATATATATATATTATATGGTATACGTGAGTACATGTTAAGGTATATGTGAATGAGTATAATTGATTGACATGATGATATAATAACAAGTCTATCAGATATATAATATGGACATAAAAGATCATAGGAATAGGAGATAAGAGATATGAATGATAATGACATATATGTATGTATGTATTTGTTACATATAACAGTATATGAGTTGTAAGAAATGATTACTAGTAAATGTTTACATTATATGTTTATTGCCTCACTAAGTCATAGACTTAGCGTGTGATTGTTTTGCACGTAGGTTACAGAAGTGAGAAGAGTAAAGAGCAATGTGGAGCAAGACAAGTCAGTTCTCCTTACCGAAGGTCAGATCAGAAGAAAGATGAATAATATGTATGTTAACAACTAAAGTTTTAGTTGGGATGTATTCAAAATAATGAATTGTATGAGCTCTGAATAATTTTGTAAACGTTTTGAATAAGTTATATGTTATAAAAGTTTTAAATTATTCATAATTTTGTACAAGCAAAAGTTTTGAAAAGTCAATGTGATACCTCGGACTCGGATCCGGGTCGGATACGGGTTGGGGTGGGGGTGTTACAAATGGTCTCAACAAGGTTTGTAGTCATGTGTCCGTATCTCCGACCACTATCGTATGCTTGTGACCACTTCTCCCGCTCGATTTTTGATGCCCAGTTCCAAACACGCTCATCTATGGCCTTCAAATCCTCCAATCTCTTGTCAAAATTTGGTTGTCGTAGTTCATATCCTATTTCAAAATAGATATTGTGTTAAAGTAAATTTATAAACAAACACATAAATGGGTACAAAGGCTTAAAATAAAACTTACCCATAATGACTATCTCCCTACGAATACGACTATTATGAAACTTCTCAATACAATTTTTACCAATATGACAGATACAATATGCGGGATATGCGTACGGAGGTGTCCAACGATTTCCCGGTCATTCAATTGCTGCCAAAAGGCCCGATCCTCGATCGAATATCAAGGAAACTCCTTCTTCTCGGATGACATACTTACTTAGATTAGTCAGAAAGAAGTCCCAAGCCTCTGCCGTCTCTCATTCAACGATGGCGAATGCAATTGGGAATATATTTCGTTGACCATCCTGCGCAACTGCTATCAATAATATATGTTTGTATTGACCGTATAACCACGTACCATCTACTTGGACCATACGCTTGCAAAATGGAAAACCTTCTATGCATGACTTGAATGCCCAAAATAGTCTATGGAATATTTTCTTCCCTTGAACAAGTTGACCTTCTCGGTTGTATGCATGCATAGTCTGAGACTTCACGATGGTTCCAGGTATGAATTGTTTCATAGCTCGTAACAAATCAGGTAACTCATTGTATGATGTATCCCAACCACCATATATCAACCTCATTGCCTTCTCATTCGCATGCCAAACGAGTTTGTATTTTACATTGTATCTGAACTGGTCTTGAATAGATGCAGCCAACACCGAGAAAGGAATCCTTGGATTTTGTTCAACCAAAACCTTCACATATTGACAAATTACATCGGAGTCCAGTAGTCGGTGGTCTTGTTCGATTGCAAACATTTGTGTGGACCATTGTACCTTGTGATGACCCAAGCATCTTGCCTCTGTATTTTGGACACTCTGATTAGCCACTTATACTCAGGCCCATATTTAACACACTTACCAAATATTCGATTTATTTCTTCCTTTGTTTGAACTTTTTTCTCCTTTTCCCCGAAATAACTCTCGAACATGCAAGCTTATCTTCTCTTCTTTTCTAACTTCTCCCTGAACTCATTATCCTCCTATTTATAAATCATATTCGGTACATTATTGCTTCACAATGCCACCATTGATTGATAATTGCTTTACAATGAAGAGATTCTCGTCTCCGGCCCCCATGCAAAATTTTCTCGGTGCATTATTGATTCACTTTTCTAAACGTAATATCTGCATGCATGCAGAGATTCCCACACCCTTTCTTTTACTTTTGCTTTGTTTTCAATCCCATCCCGTTTTTTTTGCTTTTGATTTGTTTTAAATCAAATAAGTGTTGTTTTATGCCCATTATCGTGCATTGATTCACTTTTGTTTGATAAATGTTTGCTTTGTTTTAAATATCATCCCTTTCTTTTGCTTTTGCTTTATTTTAAATCAAATAAGTGTTTTAAATCTCATCCCGTCCCCACGTTTATTGATTCACTTTGTTTGTTTGTTTTATCTTCCCATGGTTTCCTGATTTTGCTGCAAATTCCATGGCTGCCAAACCACGTTCAAGTTGCATGGAAGATGCCTACATATCCAAGTTTGCATTGAAGACGCCTAGAGATCCATCAAAGCTAAAGACGCCGAGTAATCTGCTCCCTAAACATGAAGACGTCGAGAGATGCCAAGCTTTGCATGTTTCCTATAATAATCACCCTATTTAGGAAATAATAACCTGATAACATTATCTTTGGGAATTAAAGTTTTCCATATGCATTATTTGGGTCGTTTTGCCCCCACAAACATACCTACACAATATAAAAAGGGAAAAAGATCAAAATTCTAAGAGTCCATGTGGGATTCACATGTCCACCAGTCAGCCGAATACCACACAAAGTGATGCTTGTTGCAGGTATAGCTTTTGATTTTTCTTAAACTGTTGAGGCAACCGACTCACTTTCTCCGAAAATAGCTATTTACATGTTATATATCTACTTGTCTTCTTCTCACATTTTCTTCATTTCTTCACCACTCATGTTTTATAGCAGCTTGTTGCTTAGCTGAAATTGAGCATCCTCCCTCAGATAGAGCTTTGACAGATTTAGACCAAGCTTATCTTCATCTCAACTAAAGAACGATCAGAACAATTATAATGAAAATAATTTTAAAATAATAATTTTTACCATGATACAGTAAACTTAATTATTTTCTTTTAGTTATTTGTTATAATCATTCTAATGTATGTATTTTACTAACAGTCAGTATCATGTTTTCCTATATCTAATGAAATCTTCTAAAAAATCTTCAAAAGAAGAAAAGATCTGCTACTGACATGATTTGATATGAAGCACTAACGAGAGACACCTGTAGCCATTGAATAAGAAATTTCCCGAAAGATTAAACAGTTAACCAACAGTATTTTTCTCATAATTATGATCAACAGTCGACAGTGAACTTTGATTTATAAGTTGTAACCATGCAAATGGATAATTACAAGCTTCCATAATCAGCAAAAGAGAACTGTGGGAACGATGCAGTTTTTGACATAACTAGCTATCAGAGCAACGTGTCATGTCTTTGGAATTTCAATCCCGAAGGTTCTTGAATCAGAGCAACGCGTATGTAGTTCATCCCTGCAGATTCAAGAGTGAAAGTTATCCGTTCATGGCTAACTGTTAGGAAAATGATTGAAGCCAAGTATTCGACACAAAGGACTATGATTTGCACACACATGATAAAAAAAAAGGTAAACAATTATGTTCCAAGTTGAAGGTGCTTGGGGTGGCTTTTGTCTGGATGCTCGCAACATCTTCCTCCTCGGCTAGCTCCAACTTCCAAAAGATGCTTGTGGGGTATGTTAATGTACCAGAGCCAGCAGCATTGTGTAATGGCACCTTTTTCGATCCAACATTCATACATGGCAGCAGGGAAAGCATCTCAGTGGTAATCTTCAATTGATAAAAAAACATGTCATTATCTTTCATGCCGTGCATCATCTGCAATCTACGTGATAAGAATCATAATCCTTGTGTACGACAACGCTATGATGACATCACTGCATGAGGAGCAGAAGTTTTTGAATTTATTAAAGCTGCAATAGAGCTGTATTATTGATATCAATTCCAATAAGAAAAGCTCTTAGGTCCCATATTGAGATGTCCATGTTTCGTCTAATAATCTACAAGGACTGAAATTAGAATGAACATAAAGAACTTTCAGGAACAAAAAACTATGCAAATTCATGATTATCATCTATCAGCAGTTCGGTCAAGCAATGTTGCAGGTTCGGTGTGGATACCTTGAGTATGTTCTTACTGGAGACATAACCAACTGCGACACCATGAAAATAGATGAGGAACTTTTCGAGGTGGAAACCTGGAGTATGTCCAACCATGATGTCTATTAAATTATGATTCCTGGTTGAGTCGCTGATGTATATTTCCACCTGACACAGCATTCGAACAAAACTGTTCTCTTGTCGAACCAGTATTGACGGCACAATATTTCGTAAAATAATTGTATATGTAGTGTTGTACAGTATAAGGCTAGTGTTCCAAGACAGAAGTGAACGAACGTGCACAAAGATTTGATGTCGGACCTCATTGATTAGCCGAGCCCATTACCATCATCTCATATTAGGACAACACGATTGACTCATCCACGAGTAATAACAAGACGCTTATACGGCTAATCTTGCACACATTCATGCAGCCATGCGCCTACTCCAACAATGCAGGACACATACAATATCGTCAAATCGATTGTCGATTAATTGCTCTCCAATTTGTCCACTTGATTGGATTTTGACAAAGAACAGCCAACCAAAATCTTGTATCCTTCTACTTGTTTCTCTATACTGACATCGGCTTCAGAACCTTCTGGCTTCCTCTTGATCAATACCTTTGTATACAATCCCATATCCCCCTTTAACCCCCCTTCCACTTAACAGTCTTCCTCATATGAAAACCAAAACAATTTGACGTCAAGCTCTTCAAAGCAAGAATGAAAATGAAGGTAAGTCTCCACTCCGCTAGATTCTTAGAATAGCATTAACATTCCAAATCCTGCTAAATTCACCCCTCGCTGTTGTCATTGCAGTTACTAGGATGGATGCAGCATAAGTTACGGCCAACAAATATTGAACCTTTCAAGGATTTCACAATCGGTATTCCAACTTTCATCCACAAGCCATGCACAAGTCACTTGAAATTCATCACTAGATCAGATCGGTGCAGTTGAATACGATAATCAACTCACCGGCTCCAACAAAAATAATGCATTAGCCATTAGAGTCCATTTAACTCAACTCGTCGAAGTTACTTGTAGTTTTAAACAGAGATTACAAACCTAAAATAGGGGTTAAAATGTCTATTCCTTTGACTATCAAGATCTTAATACAGCAGCAGCCTTTAGGCATGGGGCCACCAATCTTCGCGGTCTCGCAGCTATTCGATCTCCTTTCATAGCAAAAACAGACAGCCAGTGAGACTAAGTAAACCAAAATAAGAATGGGAACCAGTCACTCTCATTACAACCATGTAGACACTAAGGGAAGGGAACCCCTAGAGAGGTTGAAATTAGTCTTTAAGGCTTAAAAGGAACATTGAAATGTAACTATAAAGCACAACATGAAGTCCTTCCTTTTCAACCGTGTCTTGTGTCCTAATCTTTAAACTCTGATTTCAGGGAACTATTATGCATGTCTGTCTGCTCAGTCATCCCTCAATGATCAAGACTGTCATCCAAAATCAATATGTGGCTATGGGTATGGTTCAAAACCGGAAAGTGAGACTTCCTTCACAGAATTTGAAACAAAGGGGGTAGAAGACAACATTGGAGATGAAACATCCGCTGTCATCTCAGGGCAATTCCATGGCTTTCTCACCATTGGAACTCTAGGCTCCGAACCGATTATGAGTGAGCCTGTAACACCGACATTTGCCACGCCTCTGGAGAACATATCTGAAGAAAAAACTGAGGTGACCGAAAATCATCTGAAGCTCATCAATGATGAACTGGAGAAGTTCCTTGAAGCAGAAGCTGAAGAGCATGGTTCCAATGAATCATCAAGAAGGAATAGTCAGGTTAGCATGATTACACTTAGTGGTAAGTCAATTCAAGCACCGGATTCTCAAGATCATGGGAAGACAATCACGTGTCCACTCCAAGGATATCTGTTTGGATCTTCGATTGACCTTGCAGAAACAAGGTTTGACGTGAAGAGGGAAAAGGCATCACTTGCTGAATTGTTCCACAGGACGAAAATCGCAGAAGAGAGTCCTACGGAAAAATGTGGGAAAGAGGAGATGAAGAACAAGCAAAACAATAAACCTGTCAAACATCTCATCAAGAAGGTTCTCAAAAAGATTCATGCTTATTCAGGGAGTTCTATCTTTTCTGCTAAAGAAACAAATTCTGCTGCAACCAACAAAAAAATCCAAAAGGTGAGTTTTCTATAACCATTGTCTAATCTCATTCCTTTCCTTGTTAAAGAATAAGGAGTTAAGGACCTCAAAATGAAAATTTTAAATGTGATATCTCACTTCCTAGACATCAAAATATTGTTTGGTCCTGAAAAGTTAAACAATAACTAAAAAACGCGTCTAAGGAAATGCTAATGCCATCATCCATTTCCCAAGAGTTAGATAATAAATCATTCGCTGAGAAAGGGGTCAAAATCAGAAATTTTGAGTCCTAAAAGTTCATAACATGTGAGTCCCAAGCCATAAATGGTAAGCTTTTTGCAAACCTTTTCAAACATTCGTAGATAAGTTTTAATTCCCAATCTGTGCGGTTTGCAGGTCATAAAATTATTCCGCAGAAAAGTCCACCCTGAAAGTTCCATTGCTGACAGGGAGTCCAAAAAGTTGAATGGGAAGAAGATGAATAATGCTCCTTACAGTGAAGATGAGTGTACTGGTAGAGACCGGATTCAGCAACATAAAGACAACAAGTGGTTGCCTCGGGGATTAAGGTCAATGGCAGGACCCCAAGATTATAAGACCATCTCAGAACTGCCTAAATATGAGCTTGCTGGCTTACATGCTGCAACTGCAACTGCAAATGGGGAGCATTGGATTAAAACAGATGCAGACTGTAAGTAAAATATAACCATCTTGTTCATTCAGAATAAAATCCGTTATTTGAACTGCTGGATCCCCAAGTAAAATCATCTGAACTAACTTTGGTGTTAACATATATACAATAGCAATTAAGTCTGTATTTGACTTTGCAATAGAGTAGTTGACTAAGTTGATTCATTTTCCTTTCAACAAAATATGTCTGACCATCATCTGCTGCTGCCATTGTAGACTTGGTGTTGGAGCTGTAGTGAAGAAACTGCAACAGATTCCTATCAATAGCTTTCATCAACCTTATGGCTTTATAAATATCAACCGATGTAATGTGTGTGATTGAGTGGTGGTGAGCTGAACAGAAAAGGAAGTCCTTTAGGAGGAATCCATGTTATCCTCGGGTTTGTGAAAATAAAGTTTGTTGTATTCCTGCTTTGAAAATGTGTGTTACAATCATTTTCGAGTCTATTTCCTTCCAATTCTTGAGAAATTTCTGGTAAAAGAGAAAAGCACTTGAACCAAGTGCAAATCTTATAGCTTTCTGAAAAATTATTATACCCAGGAAATTCCGTAAGCTGGAAGTATTAACACTTGCTATTAGAAGAGATATGCAAACATAAGGGTTTTCAACAGGGAAAATTATTTTATACACTGTCAGCCGAGTTGAAAAACTCCACAAACAGGATTAAAACGAGTGACATATGGGATGTATAATAGAATAAAAAATAAAAATAACGCGTGTATATATATATAAAAGGATATGTGATAGTATTTGAAAACTTCTTTAAAATAAAATTTTTCGTTGTCAATGTATTAATATTTTTTATTAAGCTAATATGATTATAAAATAATATTTATTCTAAATATTCTCAATGTTTTGACAATGAACGCTCAATCACTCTTGCAGTCATTGGTGCTTCAACCCATGACCTCTAAGAACAATAACGATTCTTTAACTACTGAGATAAATTTTTGTACAATATATTAAATATAACTCTTACAATAATGAGCATCTTTAACCATTGGCAAGATTATATTTACATCGTTCCAGCAAAGTCCCATCAGTTTTAATTTTGCATTCAATCAAAACATAATCCACCTGCTAAATACAACAGCTATAAATGGAAATTTAATTGTCATATTCACTAAATTCATTCCCCCAAAAAGCTCTGATTATCGATTACTATTCTAACCGTGTTGATGATATGATTAGGAGATATTAATTCTTGGCAGCTCATTCCGTTGAGTTTGGGCGAAGAAACGATTCGGGGGATGATAGGAGGACGTAGAGGTAGATTAAGGGAGTTGAGACATCGATAAACGAGTTAAGAAGTGTTATATTTTGACTCAAATTATAATTAGTAATTAAATTAGATTTTGTTATAAATCTATTGCTTGAAAATACTTGGTAAATGATAATTGACTAAAAATTTTAGAGGTGTAAAATGAGGATTCTCTAGGTGTATGTTAGCAGGCCTTTCGGTATTAGAATTTCCTCTTTTCTTCTTCGTTTTCTTGGGTGATTTCGTTGTTGGCTAGGTTTCTTCTTTGATTCTCATATCTCTAGGTGATAGCTCCCGCTCAACCCAAATGGATTGGAGTAGCTTGTTTGCTGCGAGTGAGAATAAGTCTCTTCGATTCTTCCCTTCACGAGTGGTAGATGGTGAAATTACGATCAGGCCTCCAGTGGAAGTGTTTTAGGAGAGCATATTGGAAATCGAGGCAAAGATAACGTAACAGAAAATTTAAAATCACTTGTGAGATTACTTTGATCGTTGGTTCAGAAATTCTTTATGTTGTCTCTGTTTTTCTTTCTTTTTGTAAGGTGTGGTCTTTCCGAAAGACACCACTCTCCTCTACAAATATCCACAAACGAATGAGTATGAACAGTCAACGAAATGTTAGTTCCTCATTATTTTCACAAAACTGTATTTTTGTGGTTTTTTTTTATTTTGGATGGCTAAAAGAACCCTAAGTATATCACTATATATATATATATGTGTGTGTGTGTGTGACTTAATTAGGGTTTAAATTAATAATCCATTTTTAATTAATTAGAATTAATTTAAAACTCATTTTAAATTAAAGAACAATTTAAGTCATGCCCCTTATCTTAAATTCAAATAATAAATAACCTTTTAAAATATAATTTAAAATAATCTCATTATCTTAAATTATTATTGAGAGTAATAACCACAATTATTCTTATTCATTTTTAATGTGCGACACTATAGGTTCAATTAATGTTGGCAGTAGATAAAACTACTTTTGATCATACAAGTCATAAGTGATCTCTAACAAGATATTATGACTACTTAAGTTAAATGAAAATCTCATGATCTGAGACAACTTTAACACAACTCATGCCATAATTCTTTTATCTCACGATATCTTGATAGAATACACAACATGAAAAATGTCAACCTTATATCATTTTATCTTCAATTTCTCGATGCCCAATTGAACTGGCTAAACAAATGTGATTTCTATCAACTCATTTGAGTATAACCATGCATTTCTCAGTCTCAATATGTTTTTTTAGATTTTAGAGAAATTTACGAAATTTAGGATTTTTTTTTAAAAATACTTAATATAAAAAATGCCTAATTTATTTATTTTTTTCATTTAGGTACATAAACTTCTGTCTTGCGTTTTTATATTATCATTTTAAGTGTATGATATTTCACAACCATTAAAAAACATTATTTGACGGTGATTTCCGCCAAAAATCACCGGTGATCGGTATATTTACCGATCTAACACCCGTAGCAGTAAAGCGCGCCTCCTGAACCACGCTATATGTTGATTTGGCGCCACGTGGAGTATAGCGCGTGCCCTGTACCGCGCTATACGCTGACTGGGTTACACGTGGGGTATAGCGCCCCCTGCTCCGCGCTATACGCCACGTAGGGGTATAGCGCGGATCAGGGGCCGCGCTATACGCCGTACCAAAATTATATTTAACGCGGTCCCTGATCCGCGCTATATAATAATTACATATAACGCGATGCTGGTACCGCGCCTTATATGTTTATAAATACTACATCTCTCCTCACATCTCCTGCATCTCTCCTCTCTTATAAATTAATACAACAATTCTGTCAACGAGTAATAATTCTGGCAATATTCTCATATTTGATTTAGAAGTTCGTGCGATTTTTTGTTATAAGGTAATTTTGTTATAATTTTTAATTATACTTATTGTTTATTATCATTATTTGAAAAAATAGTATACTAATTATTTTCAATTAATTTTTATGTTTGTAAAATTGAAAAGCGGAGCATACGTCGAAATAGTTTTGCGGTGCAGGTAATAATATAAAATTATATTATTTAAATTATTTACGTTGATGTGTAAAAAAAATTTTGTGTTATATTTTCGTTATATATAATTTATTTAATCAGGTTTGTTTAAGTTATTTTTTTGCAGATATAATATTGCCGCACTTTTAAACTCAAAGAAAGGCTCGACTTTCAGCTATTGTTTATTATGATGGTGAAATTCGAGAAGATGAAACCGACGTTATTTTCGTATCAAATGAGCGTTTTAAAATATCATTCAAGAGAAACATAGCTCTTGAGGAGCTGATAACGAAGATTTCGAGGAAGATTCATGTTGGAAGTAATAAAAGAATGTCGTCGTTGCAGTACAGATTTCCAACATCATTGTTGCCATTAACTTATAGCGTTCGAACTTTGGAACAATTTGGAACAATGATGATGTTCAAATGATGGTTGAAGCTCAAAGTAATTATTCAGACGCCGCTATTGAGATGTATGCACATTTTGTTCAAGTGCATGCTGTTCGGGGTCAATCTTTAAGCTCACACTATGGGCTGGCTGAACAAGTTGATCAAGTTGACAGCCCGACTACAGTAATGTGTAATGATTTTAATGCCATAATGGGGAGACATTCATCCGCAACTCCTTACGATATGTACCGAGGTGGGTCTACGAACAATTGTATGGCAACACCGCGTCCAGTTCAAGGGGAAGGCATTCATCTACAAATTTCTTTGACCATATGGAGATGCCATCGACGCAACCATCTGTGCAGTTTCCATTTGACACGATGGCTTCAAGCTCCAGGGGAGGCATTCGACTGCGAGCTTTTTCGATCTCAATGTCGATATGCCTTCCAGTTCAAGGGGAAGGCGTGCAAGTAGTAGGTTCTTCGACCTAAATGTGGAGAGCATGGAGGAACTATCATCTCCACCAGAAGAACCGCTTCGTGAGCCTGGTGCAGATGGTGCTGAGACTGGACTATTCATTCACCCATAATCACCGTAATTCAACTCCGATGATGATGAAGTTCCAGGAAATGTGGCACAAATGACCCTCCTGCACACATGTATGAAGCTGATTATGGTGCAATGTACGGGCCAGAATTTGCGGATATGCCTCATCTCGGTGACTATGGATATTACTCATCAATAAATAATGGTGATTATCTTTAGGCATGGAGTTTTCAAGCAAATAAGAAGCGATGATGGCTATCAAAAATTACAATATCCGTAATTCTGTTCAGTCCAGAGTAACCGATCGACGATCGAAAAATATGTATGCTACTGTGCCCGACGCGAAAACAGATTCAATTGGATGGTTCGCGTATCGAAAATGAAGAGGAAAAACAACATATGGGAACTAACAGTATACAACGGTCCTCACACATGTTGTGCTTGAGGGGTCAATAAGATCATCCTAACTTGGACTTTGAAGTGATATGCCAAGCCATCATGCCTATGGTAAAATCAAGCTCTCATATAGTTGTTGCAGTGTTGATTTTAGCTATACAATCGCAGTATGGGTACACTGTCTCCTATAAAAAAGCTTGGTTGGCAAAACAAAATGCCATTGTCAAACTTCATGGCGAATGCAATGCATCTTACAACGAACTTCCAGGTTGGTTTAGGCTGGTGCGGACGTTGAATCCTGGGATAATTGTGGACTTCGAAACCTCCTATGCATACCATAATGATCAAGTTCTTCGCGATTGATGCAAATTCTATCGGGTTTTTTAGAGTTACCCACAGTGGGTTAATACTGCCAAATACTGCAAGCCTGTGGTCCAGATCGACGGGACTTTCTTGTATGAAAATACAAGCAAGTTTTATTATTGGCAGTTGTCCAAGATGGCAATCGCAACATTCTTCCAGTTGCTTTTGCTCTTGTCGAAGGAGAATATATAGATTATTGGGCTTTTTTCCTCCGAAATTTACGTGCACATGTTATCACGAGGGAAAAAATTTGTGTCATTTCAGATCGCGGAGCTGGGATCAAAGCAGCAATGGAGTCTTTGGGTCCAATGTGGCAACCACCCTTTGTCCAACATAGGTATTGTCTCCGACACATTTCTGCGAACTATCATGGAAGGTACAAGAAGAATGAAGAGCGTCAATTAATTGTGCGCATGGGTA